TGTACTTTCATGGATAAGATACGTGAATGTATACGTGTCTAGCTCGTTTACCTGTTCAAGAGATTACAAGCGTTTGTTGCGACATAGTTGTGTTCTCAGCGCCGAGTGTGAGTGTTACAAATAAAATACTATTTTTCAATAATTCGATTCTTGGTTTAGAAAAGCATCAAGGTTTTCGTTAAGGAAAACACAGAGTTGCCTTTGAGGAAACTTTGATAAGAAGTCCTTTTAAAAGGGCTGATGACCTCTCCACACAACCAGGTTTAGGTCAGGCTATTAAAAAATCTGTACCAGCGGGGATCTAAAAACCCACTGTATATGACCTGATAGAGTACCAGTAGATAGCAGGGTCTTTCTGAGTGAAATAAATGTGATGCGGTTTATAACGCTGTTAGGTTATTTATATAGGACGAGCTGTTGGCACCAAAGCCTAAGCAGAGAGTCGTATTTCTGGTAAGTAGACATCAGCACAGGAAAATGCCTCAGGGGTACCTGTTTTAAGCCAACAGCGTGGAGACGTAGCTTGGACAGAGGTCCAGAGTGAGGAGACCTGTGGTTTGCAGTCGGGTGGGACGCTCTGTTGGACCCTTGAGTAAGTTACTTTGTCCGTTGAGTTAGCTATATCGTCCCCTTGAGTAAATTACTCAGTCCCATGCGTAAGTTACTTGGTCCCTTAAATCAGCTACATGAACCCTTGAGTAAGTTGTTTGGTCCCCTAAATACGTTACATGGACGCATGGGTGAACTTCTTCAGTCAGATGGTTTCAGTGAATGCCCCGTAGTGCGCAAACTGTGTGAATGAGTCTCCTGGTCATCAATGGAAAGGAGAGTTTACTATCAACTGACTGAGTAAAACAAAGTAATGAAGAAAACATGTTTGTTGCATGTTTGCATGCTGGGAAAACCTCTTAAATCAACCAGAAAAGGCAGGTTCTGTGTTTGATTAACTCCTGTTGTCAGCATGTTACAACACTCCGTTTACTGAGAGAAGAATGTGTGTGGTAGTTTTATTTCATCATGAGCCGCCTTGGTGTTCGTCAGTTGTTCTTCATTATTCTTTCGGAGCTACAAGACATCTGATATTCTCCAAACTGACCTTCCGTCTGGTTATAATTGTTTTTGCAGGTGTTTACTTTGGACATTAGAAAAGAGTTCCAGAAAATATATATTTCCTCTTAATTAAGTTGCCAGTATACACAGCATCACAACACACTTTTCCTATGTTCCTAGATTCATATTTCTTTTTCAGTGGACGCACGGAAATTCTGACGGGTGTGTTTGGATTTTTGATACTAGGCGACACTCATCATCCAATATAAAGGACATTAAAGTCAACATAAAATGTACCTTTGTACCATTTCATATACTGTACTATAATGATGTGTCATTCGGTGTGGGTAAGTAAGCTGGAGGATATCGCTTTTACTTCACCCCGGCAAGTGAAAACGTCTTGAATATGAATTTGACGAATTCAATTTCCAACCTGAAATGGGCGTTTCTAACCTGGCGACATCTCCTCCCAAACGGAGATCGCACGAGGAGGGGTCTGGTCTCCTCGAGCCTCTTCATTGACAATCGGAGCTCTTACGCGCAGCTCGCTGGATTAGCTGGTGTAGGTGCTGCAGATACTGTAGCACAGGAACCGGGACCGGCAGAAAACGCAGGATTTCTTTGAGAAACAGCTGTCAAACCGTGGCATCATAAATCTCAGGAGTGTTCCTTCTCAGAAACTGTGAGGGAGTCAAACACTCCCGTTTAATAGTTGAGGTTATATTGCACTCTCTTTTGATATTTTTGCTTAAAATTTCTTTTAGTGTTTTTTTTTAACTTGGCACTTATTCCATGAAACGGAATACAATGCTTGGATAAACGCCCCCCCTACTTAATTTCGTAGGGAAGGAAGCCGGAACTTTATTTGCGAAATTATTGTCTTAGTTTCAGTTCCTCAATGCTTGAATTTATTCACGACGATCACTTTGTGTTTATTCTTTAAAATAATGGAGCTGAAGCTCTGTGCTTTCTTCCTGTTCGTTATAAACGGAATTTATGCAGCATCACACTATGGAAGTAACCTTCAGCCTTACATGTGAGTAATAAGCGTTTTATCACCTACTGTACACTCCCAAAAGTTTATGGGTGCGCTTTTTAAAGAGCGCAAAATTGATCTTAATTTAAGACATGTGGACTGCCCTCCCCCAGACTTTCAAGATTTTGCCTTTACCATCACTTTTAGAACATTATTAAGGCTGCTGGACTGAAGTTACGTACTGTACAGTATGTCACTGTATTACACTTTAACGTATTTTGTAGTTTGATGCGTGCATTTTTATCCAATATATGCCTACTTATTCTTGATTGTTTTAATCACTTTAAATTGTGTATTCAAACATAAAATCACAATCTGGATTTGGTAACAAGATTACAAGTGATGAGATGTCAGAATTCTGTTTAATTTCATAACTTTACAAATGCTTTCACTTAAAAACCCTCCTGCACGCTGTTAACGTCAATGAAATACGATCATGTTTCTTTTATTGTGACTTTGTAATTGGGCTGTCCTGGGCTGCAATCTGTTCCTTTTCAGAAGCTCGCAGACATCGGAAATTTAAGAAGGGCAGGTTCAGATCTTCAGACTGTCTCTGGCGCAGTAAATGTAACTTGGATTGGAGTGAAAGATCTAAGCGGATCATTTCATGTCAGACGCAAATAACACTACAGTGGGGAAAAACGCATCAGTGGTTTAAACTGTACTGCGCAAATAAACTTTCTCCATCGAGAGAAAACCACTTTTTTATTTATAGTGGGATTCTAATAATACTGTATCACGTTTCTCGTCTGACGTATTTTGCGCTTTTAAATAGAATTTGAGCAATTTGCGCAGGTTCTAAAGACAAGGTAATTTGTATACCGCCGCAACTAGGTTTGCAATGAAATTGGATTGTATGGGTTTAATAGGGTTACGGATAGCATATTAAAGTGTACTTGTAAAAGAGCTTTGTAATCTGGAGAAACAGAGCGTGACTCATTTTCGTTACGCGTCCTTTACGATTGTTCAACACTTATGAGGCTTGTTATGCGTAATTAAGGCACTCTTGATAATCAAAAGGACGGTAGGGAAACAGTTTCACTTTAATTTAGTTACCTTAGTAAATAAAGCTATAAATAAGAACAGCTGTGGCTTATCTCACACGTTTCAGTCATGGGTCTCTCCGCAATGGGATGGATGTTTTAAATGCGTTCGTATGAAACGAGGAAGATAACAAACTGGTAAATTCACCGGCTCGGCTTGATGCAGAGTAGAACTCGAGAGGCAAATTAATATTAAATCTCTCCTGCTATCTGTGCGTGACGCAGCTTACCGCGAAGACATTCTTTGAAACCAAAGTGATACCTAAATGACACAACCCGCTGGTTCTGTATCAGCACCAAAACTAACGCTTTCCCAGGAGCCGTCCTTCGGTTTGCTGCAGTTTTTACCTATGTACTTTTTGCAGTGCTCTTTAATTGTCCTGACAACTAGTTTGGAAAATACAGCACCCATAAGCACGCCTCTTTTTACAGTTATAAATGATGCTTGATTGATTTTTGCAAATAATAAATGCAAGACTGAAAAAATGATGCTATATCAAGGCTTAGGGAAAACTAAAAGACGCTCATCGAAACGTTCCCGGCGTCGTTTCCAATTCAGTTTTCCCTATAGAAATCTGTATCCCCCTGATCAGGTGATGCAACTTGCTTTGAGTTGGATATAGGGTGTGCTGTGCTCCGTTAACAAAGCTATACAACGATGTCTTGGACATGTAAATGTCTTTTTTTACAGCGTTTTACTGAATGTATTTCATTATGTTGAAGCACAGTTCTGTCTCGGTCTTCTAAAGAAATTCTAGTTTTTTTTTTAAACTAACTCATTTAAGTAAAAAAAAAAAAAGCTCTGTTATGCAGAGGGCGACATTTCTGAATGACGAGGAACACCTGACAGTGTGTAGTTAACTACTGCAACACTTCATAGCGGCCACTACTTTAACTTGAGCTGCTGTGATCAATGTGAATTCAAAATGGCTAAATATAAACTTTGGATTCTCCTCAAACAAACCAAACCGTATTAATAGCACTCAAAGCTTTTATAATAGTTCACAATAGTGGAAGCTCTGAGTAAATTGTTGGCGCGTGTAACATAAATACATTGCAACTGTGTCTAAGACAGTGGCACAGCAGTTGCAGAGCAGGATAGGAGTATCTTGTGCAGGACAAGCGACAGGAACCACATTGAGCTCAGGGTTACAGCTTTGCATAAGAGTGAAAGACAAACGTTTTTAAAAAGCAAATTATTAGTGTATTATTTTTCTCAGGATTTTTTTTCAGAAGCTCTTTGCACTGAAATCTTTGGTAATTTAAAAAACAATGGGATGTTGGTTTATTTTATCCCACTGCTATGGTTGTAAATCTGTGCAGACTGGCTATTTGATCTTTTTTTAATAAATTAAAACCCTTTCTTCAAGAATTAAGTGCAATTTCAAGAGCAATTGTGATCTGTCAGGATAAGTCTATGGAGGCACCTTTTTTCTTGCCCTGCCTGCAAATTAACCTGAAGAATAAATATTTTGTTTTTTACAACTAATAAAAGCCATCCTTCCAAAACAGTCCTGAGTCTCTGTATATGGTCTCAGAGATGTTTAAAAGCTAATAATGTTTCTCAAAGGAGGGGGCTAGCTCTTCCCCTGATAACTGCCTCTTTTAATAGAACCCATATGGTTAAGTAATTGATACTAGTGGGGCTATAAAGTGGAGCCATATCAGCATCCCTTTGTTATTTTAAAGATCAGATTGCAAACTCTATTTCCTATTGATCTGTCCAGCTTCTTATTCTTATCTAATTAGTAATAGTCCTAGTAGTAATAGTAAAAGGCAGCAAAGTCCTTGTCTTTATCAATGTATATATTTGTCATCCTGGAGTGATATTTGAAATTGTTTTTGCATGCTTGCAGGTGTACTGGAAAACCATTCAGTAATTTCATTTTCAGATGTAGTTCTTGCACCTCTGGGAATATCAGTCAGCATGGCAGCTGACCAGAACATTATAGTATGCTGTAATAAACTCTGACATTAGTCATGTGCTACTGCCTTTGTAAGTGCTGGTCTTTAGTTTTTAATACTTGTCAACTAGCCTTGGGAATTCAAAGCTTTTGGTACACTGCCAGAACAAATCCTGGCTTATTTTGTTAATAAAAAAGATAACTATTGGCTCAAAATGATAATTATTTAATTTGAAGCTTGTTAGATGGGAATGTCTGTTACATATAAGACGTAAGTCTGTTTTGAATGGAACACTGTTGGCTTCATATAGCCTTATTATCACTCCTATTGGAAGAGATCATGTTAATTTAGATAAGCATGTTTTGGACTATTGCTGATCAGGGCCAGTGAATCTACTCCTGTAAGTGTACTCAACAGAATATACGTTTTGTTCTGCAATGGGAGCTTCACCTTTCCCAGAGTCTTCCATCTGTATTACAGGTGACAACTCAACATTTAATATCCAGATTTTAAATCTGTCATGTCTGTGCATTCTGTAATCAATTCAGTGGTTCTTCTCTCATCTTAGGGGATAATTATAGGAGTGATTGTGGCCTAATGTAAGTTTCTGAGGACTGTAACACATGTAAAAACAGATGGTTGGTAATAAGCACTTACCTGTAAAAGGCATTCTTTATAGCCAACAATACAGCAAAAGCATTGTGCTCTATTTTATAAACTGGTGAAGAGTGGTTTCTATTGTGTTTACATTTAGGGAAAAAATAACAGTTTTATCATAAGCACAACAGTGAATGCAGGTCTATGTTTTGCATTGTCTATTTAAGACATTTTTAGACTGTGCATACATAAAACTAATGAGAAAAGATTTGTCTTGATTCTAAATGGCTTGGGAATGTGAAATGTGTTTTTCTGAACTGTTGGTTGTACAGTAGGAACTGTGTTACTATCACCTAAGAGATGCTTATATTGTGCTAGACAAGGGAGTGCAGTCCTTCAGACCTATATTTCAGTGAAATGGCATGTTTTAGAGGGTGCATTGCAGTTGTCATGGTACTGGTGTGAATTAAATCGCATTTGGAAAGAATCATTTCCACATTTCTAACCACAGTACTACTTTACTGTTGTGTGGGTTCTGAATTTTTTCCCAGATCAGAGTTATCATAAAATTCAAGTCTTTTTCTTGGTAGTAGCTTATGCCAGTTATTCAAATCTTCAAAATCTAGTGCCTAACAAAGACCCTCTTCTTTGGAGATGTAGTAGTTTTAGATCTGGTCTGCAGGTCCATTTAGCAAAGAAGAGGTTTGAAGGCTCCCGCATGACTGCTTAAAAAAATGAGACAAGAGCTACCATTTCAAAACTTCACAAGTCAACAGGCTTAGAATGTTAAATCTAGTACTTCAATAATTACTGTCCAACACAACCCAAAAAATCAAAGCTGCAGCATTATGAAAATAAAATGAATGGATTTGTTAGCTTTAACGAAAATGTGTCCTTAACCATTCTTTCTAATTATAGCATAAAAGTAGCATGATTAAGCTCTTATGTCTTTTTATGTGCCAGTGAACTTGCTGTCAGGATGAGACTTATTTCTAAAGCTTCCAAAGTAAAATAAATCACCAATTTGTGTCATTCAGACTCCCCCATCTCCTCACTCTGTGTCTTAGTATCAGAAGTGCTTCTGTGGGTCTCACCCCCACTCCTTACTTCTCCTTTGCTGCTGTGAGAGATGAGTAATCCTCTCTCAGTTTGCCTTGAAAAAACGGGGACTTCTAAGAACTTGTTCAATGCTGAAGTCTGCAGATTGAGGTTTGGAAAAACCCTAGATTGCTGTATGTTACAAGAAGAGTAGGGTTTGGAGTGAAAAAAGAATAACCTACTGGATGGATTGTGTTTTTTCCTGTGCGTGGGAGAATTTGATGTTCTCTGTGTAATGCAGGTTCACTATAGCAGCCTGTCCCTCTTTAAACAAACAAGGGTTTACAGGAATTTCCCTCTGAAAAATATAATGGAGAGAAATTCCAAAGTAAACAGTGCTTTTTACCCAGGGATAATGGGAGAAAAAATTGGGGATTTATCTGTAGTTTTTATGTGGCCATTGAGGTCACCCAGTACACTGCTCAGCCTTTATCGATTCTTTAAACAGGGCATTTTATAAGATCTTGTTTATTCTCGAGTTTTGTCTTTGATTGTCTCTTCTTAACACCAGAAAGCATCCACGATCCATTACTGGCAGGAAGCATGGAAGAGAAGTGTGTTAGCAGGACATAATGATTTCCTCTTTCTGTTAGTAAGGACATTTTCATTTCAGACAGAAAGAACAATGGCTGCTTCTAATGAACACTTAACTGTATCCTCCTGCGTCTGGTTAAGAATAGAAATAATGGCAAATGTGAGTGATTTAAATGGGACCTTGCGTATTTGAAGGATAGGAGGGAGAACGCCAAGTGTGCCTTTTTTTAATTTTGATATTTCAATCACAGTGCCTCCAAGAAAAGTTCGAGTCGCACTGACGCATCGGAGTATTTCCTTGCATGTGGTGCAAATTTCTGTGCAGCTGGTGTCCACCGGATGTGAACAGGCAGACACCTGTGCTGTGTTTGTGTCTGCTGGGGGAGTGCTGGCTTTCTTTCTTGCTGTTGGATTCCGGTGCTCGGCGCTCCAAGCACGGAGGGGTCAGCCGTTATTAATTCCAGCTGCCGTTGTCCTCTCCCGCCCTGGCAGGCCTCACGTGTGTGCCGAGAGGGAGCTGACCATGGTGGCTCACAGGCAGCCTTGTGTCCAGGCCTTCACCCGGATGGTCAAGGTGTGGAAGCAGGGCTGTGAGGGACAGCTGTGGTGCGTGGGATACGAGAGGAGGTGAGTGCACAGCAGCACCAGTTACAGAGCTGCTTCTCTCTCTACCGGGGGCTCGCTTTGTTGGCTTACAGCAACGCTTCCCAGTCCCTGCCCTGATGACCCCACACACCTGCTGGTATTCATTCCCCTCCACCTTCATCAGATCACTGAAGCCTTACTGGATCCAAGAAGTTGATTCAATTGAATATTGGCATTTTGTTTCGAGTCGCAAGTTTGGGATTTTACTTCCCTTTCAAAATGCAATGGTTAAAGTAACTTTATAAGTAAGAGCTGGGAACAAACATTTCAAAATAATCACCCTCTTGTTCGTCTTGTTCTTGTTCTTCGTTGTCTTCTTGTTCTTCTTCCTCTTCTTCTTATGATTAAGTCAATAAAGGATTTGATCATGTAACTGAGGGCTCGGCCAGAGCAGGTGTTGGCCACCAGGACCTGGAATGTGCCTTTTTAATAAGAACACCCAATGATTTTTTAGTGCTATCCATTAGTCTGTATTAATAAAGGTAAAGGGAAGAAGGTTAATAATGTTGACTGAAAGAGGTTTGAAAACTGCAAGTTTCTGTGACTAGAGGTCAGTAGCCTGTTTCCAGATGGAAGCTGGAAGGAAGGCATCGCCTTATCGGCGGTCAGTTGGCACACACACCAGGTGCTCTGCTGTCGAAACCCTGCCAGCACTGTGCTGCGCTGGACGAGTGGTGCTTATAATGAGAGTAGCTCACTATACTGATATGTTTGTTGAGCACAAGTTATTACAGCTTGCAAATGGGACCTGAATCAAAGATAAGTCTCATTAGTCTTTCAGAATTAAAGTAACCCCGGGATTAGTCAAGCAATAAGAGCAGACCTTTTGATTGAACCACAAGAAATGAACTTGAGCGAGGGAGTTTTGGAGGGGCGGAGTAGACTCTTGCAAGACTAATCAGCCACAAGCGAAGTATCGGATACTTGAGATACTCATGTGTGTTTGTGTGGATTGGGGCTGTTGAAGAACAGAGAAGACTGTTAACTGGTCTGGCTCCTTTGTTTTGTGTACAGAAGTACAGACTTGTTTCTCCCCCATCCATGTGTTTTTCACGATGACAAGTTTGGTTTGTGTTTCCCTGTGTGTTGTTAGGCAAGTGTGTCTTCGTGTTATTTTAATAATAGTTAGAATTATTCTATCATATTTATAATAATGGCTGTGGATGGATCTAAATACCTGAAACAGCTTCTGGGGGGGCTAGAGCGATGAATCATGTTTTAAATTTGGTTTGTCAGAAGGTTCAACAAAGTTTTGTTATCGAGTAAGTCTTTCTTTCTTTCCTTTTGCTTTTCTTCTTTCCTGAACAAGCAGCTACACCGCCACCTCTCATCAGTTTAAATGCAGGGTTTAGCTGCATTCCCCCCGGCAGGTAAACTGTAATTTGAAATAATCATCATGGGCAGCACACCTGAGGCTGTATGAAATGGTAGCACTGGAATGACTGGAGTGCAGTCTGAGAGCCGGGCCTCCACATTCTGGCCTTAGAAGTTCAAGGAGGCCTTTCAAGCCACGGTTTATGACTCTGCCTTCTCATGTGTGCCTCCTGTCATACACAAAGCTGGCTTTGATGGTCATTCTAGGTGATGATTCAATCAGGCGATAGAAACAGACTGAGACATGTGCTGTCTGATAAAGAAGGAACAGCCAGTGAAGTGCTAAATGTCAGGGAGAGGGAGAGGGTGTATTGAGTGTGGAGTGCAGAGTAGGATGTACTCAGCTTAAAGGCTAAGCCCATTAACTTACAGACATCCAACTATGAGGTAATAGGTCCGGAACTCTACCTCCTCAAAGCCTGAAAATGCAAGAGTTGAAGAGATTTACAAGTAGGAAGAAATGTCAATTGGGGTGCAGAAATGATGTGTACTGTATGTGGTGTTTTAAATAATGAATCCAGAGTTTGTGTCTTTCTGTTTCAGGACTGCCTATTACACTGCCTACAGACAGGTGTACAGGAAGGAATATCAGACTGTGTACAAGTGCTGTCCAGGATGGTCGCAGCTCAACGGCGAGGCCGGCTGTCTTTACCGTGAGTGTCCTGAGCGCTTTCGCTCCGCGTTCGTTCACAGACTTCGTACATCTCCCCTGGCATCTACTCTGAGCACTTTGGTTTCAGTTGTGATGTCAAGATTGTGTCCCGTTGAAATTTCATGTGCAAGATGGGAAATGTGGATTGAAGATCACACGAAGTATGCGTTTTTCCCATCTAGTCAGACCAATGCTATAGCAGATCCATGGATTCAGAATAATTTGCCAAGGAGATGAGCCCTTCACGAAGCAGACATACCATGTGCATGACTCACTCCACACATCGCAACCAGTTTACACTAGCAGGTACCTTATAGCATATGTTCTTAATATTTCAAGTACCACAGGTCACGTCTGATATTTTTTTGATTATCAATGGCAAAATATGTCTTTTTGAATGACTATTCTTGATAATGAAATTATCATGTCATAAGATGATAATTGCATGATAAAATTCCAATTCATTGGCAAACAAACTGCCTTCCCATACGCAAAGGTCCTTCTGGGGATTAATAATGCTTTAGAAAATAGGTCTTATGTTGTACTAATAAACTATGCTTTAGTTCTAATTGAGTTAAGTCGTTTGCTGCTGTTTCAAGAGTGAACCTTTCAGTAGCTTAGCTGAAGGAACTGTGGAACTTTCTTAGCTGAAAAAACTTTGCTGTAGAACTGTGGGAATAAAACATAACTCTTATGATGAGTCTTGGCTGTTGTCTTGAACCCGGGGGCCAGGAATAGGCCACAGGGCAGGACAGGGGTAGGGGTGAATGTCGGAGGTGAAGAGGTGCAAATCTTTGTTTTGCTGCAGTTTGGGCTAATTAATCAGACGGCCTGTCTGATAATCACACAAGAGGCATGGATGTGATCCCCATTTTTTTTTAATGGCAATGTGATCCCCACTATTATTGTTCTATACAAAAATCCCTGGAAGATGTTGTGAGGGGCCTGATGTGCCGCAGTGCAGGGAGTGGGGGTGGAGGTGGCTGACAGATCATCTCCATTAGTCTAGGAGTGCCCATAAATTGCAGGGCGGAATTTGATCCTTTGTGAAAACACAAACGCGGCACCCTGTGATAAACTCTAGAAAAGCTCAGAAGAATGCTGTTTGCTACTAATGATTTGTTGCATTTTCGTACCTTTCTCTACGCTTTCTCAGAATCTCCTGAGCCGAAAACGGCCCAATTTAGAGGGGGTAGCATTGTATCCAGCAATGTAAGGTTTTACATTTGCCATGTCAGGACTATTTTTACTTTAAAGAAAAAAAGATTCTTGAGGTAAACTTTCATTTCTGATCAAGAACCCCTTTTCAGTTTCATCAACCTGACTGCGTAGTTTATTCCAGACTCCCACAACCCCTGATGTCAAGAAGTGTCTGCGGTTCACGGTTTTAAATGCACTTCCACACGGCTCATGTTTCACTGTTTATTCTGAAGAAAGTCCTGTAAATATCACTGCTTCGTTAAATATCACCACTGTGACGATGAAAAGTGCAGAGCAGAGAAGGACCACCTGCTCTGTGGAATGCTGAATACTGCATCACCCATTTACCTCATCCACTTCTTTTCCTGCTCCTTATAAAGCTTAAAGGAAAGCTCTCTAAGAATGTCGTCGGAGCAAGATTTGTACTGAGCTACAGATGTTCTTGCGCTGCATTTTATCTGCTCTTGTTTATGGAAAATAAGAAGCTCCTGGATTCGAACACTCATCCGTACCTACAAGGGGCCAAGCTGTATAGCCCTTCTGCAGGCCACTCTTCCAGTGGCTTTGCTCTCCTTCCATCCACGTATTGCAAATCCTTGCACGTTCTGGCCTTGCTCTGCCCAGGTCTCTCCCACACTGCAGTATTGTAACAGGACTGCTGTGCTCTGGGGCTGCCTGTTCTGGCAGCTCTGTGGGTCCTCATCAAAGGGCTTAGCGAACAGGACTGATGAAACCTGGCTGGAAGCCTTTGATAGGATTTCATGGAAGTAAGGCCAAGTCACATAGCCTGAATTCCTCCGACTGCTCCCCAATGAAGACTGCCCCCCTGCCCCTTCTGAACGTACATGCCTACCTCACAGTGCCCTCTGTTTGCCCCTGCTCCACACCACAATCTGTTATGTCTAACCTATTTGTAACTAGCAGCAGGCACTGCCCATGCCAGGACAACAGCAGTCATGCTGGGGGATTAAAGGCTGGGAGAGGGTGAGAGAGAGTCCCTCGCTTCTGTTTTTCATCAGAGTTTCATTACAGCCTTTCAGCTCCTCAATGCGCTCTTTGTTTTAGAAAAAAAGGGCACAGTATTAAATTCTAGAAGGATGAAATGGGTTGTCTTCTCGGTAGGAGCCGTATTTGTTTTGTCCCATTCCTGCTCGTCCCTTGAAGTTTCTCTGGCTGCATTTTGATCGCTGCTGCAGTGCCGTTTTCTCGAATGTAAGATAGAAGGTCAGATCCCAGCGTTGATCGCTGAAGCCGCTGATGCACAGTCTCGGCTCCAAAATGAAATGAGCAGAATGAAAATGCCTAAGTGCCACTTCTGGATCTTTGTTGACCGGGTGACACTGCGATTTGCACAATCCGGTTCTTTCTGTTTTCTGCTGGATCAAGCAGCATAACAGGAAAAAAGCAATCGGCATCTTCAGAAACAGTAGTCTGTGACTGTTCTAGAGCAAAAAATCCCCCCCCCAGAAAAATCCATTCTTGGACTCCACTGCACGTCAAACGAGAAAAATTGAAACGGTTTTTTGCAATGCAGCACACAGGTCTGTTAGCCACTCCCAGGATGAAGTACGGTTAATCGTCTCTTCAACGGCCAGTGCCTCCTAGCACTGCCCCAGTTCTGCCACAGCCACCAAGATCAGCTGATATTCAGAGCGGAGGAGCAGGTGGCACAGAGCTGCACATGGTTCTGACTGTCCTCAGTTCAAACAAAACACAGTTGCAAACCAGTGAGGGTCATGACCCCGATACGCTGCTGAGCCTCGGTGTTGGGAGTTGTCATTGCAGGCATTGAACCATTATCCTCACAGCTGTCCATTGCCCATAGGCATCTGCTGAGCATCTGGGTTTCTGGAGAGAGTCTTAAGGTCTTCTGGTAAACGCCTGTGACATTTCTACCTCTTCCCATTTCTGGGAAAAAAACATTTGCTGAGTTTGCTGGACGGCATCTTCATTTTTGTCCCCCGTATCGTTTTTATTCTGCGTCTCCTTGCCTGTCTCAGCTCCTCTTCCCTTTTAACAGGCTGGGGGATTTTGAGCAGCTGTTCTCCTGCGAGATGCGTTGCGATTTGCTTTTCTAATTAAACTTCCCACTTGACATGGCATAGCTGGAATGCCTTGGCCCGTGCTGGTGTTTTTGCGCTTGAAGACATTCTGTTCTTCTCCTGTGGCGGCGGCTGGTCAGCGCGGGCGGTGGCGGCGAGACTCCACTCCGTCCGCCAAGCCCGGTTGAGAGATGCGGGGTTCACAAGTTAATGCACTGTCCTGGGAACAGATCCCGCTATAAAAAGAAAAAGTGGTTTCTGTTCATAATGCATCGGTGTGCCAAGAAATGTATCTCACCCGTTTAGTAACATAGGAATGCTTCAGTTCTCTAGTCCGTATTACTTCATCACAAGTGCTATTGTACTGAAGATATTTTAATATCAGCACATCTGTCGACAGAGTTAAGTAGAGTCATCAGATCAAATTATGTGCCTTTACATACTTAGCACAGTCTAAAACTATTTTAATTGATAAATTAAAGTTGTTAGTTTCTAAGTGTGGCAACACATGGTGTAACATTTCTTGAAGCCAACACTTTGACAGGTCAGGGAACATTTAGTTCCCATTTCAGTTAAAAAATGGTGGTCAGCTGTCTTGAGATATGGTATTCAAATACCTTCTTTTTGACCTTTTTTGCGACATACAGCGGTATTAAGAAAAAAGCTGACTCTTATTCTTCAGAGTTAAACTTCAGAGTTAGTTTGGCCAACATAGCAAGGCCCATACTGGCTAGGACTCCGTAATATGTTTTGGGATAACATACAAATTGAAGTCTAAAATAACATGTTTAGTTTCACTAATGTGCCTGTTCGGGATTGTCAGTTTAGACGGCTGTGAAATTTAGTATCTCCCCCCCCCCCCAGTCCGCTGATGTTTCTTGTCTTTGAAAGGACGCAGCCGGACTGATAACCACTGCAATAACCCCCTTTTTCCGGCAATTAAAATTCTTTCTCATACAAAATGAGAAGAAGGCACAATGCTGGGATAAAGCATCATTGACTGGTGTGTAGTTCAGGGCCAGAAAGCAGATGAAATACAGCCCCTGTGTTGAAGAGCTGATGGAGACAGAGGCAGCAGCCAGTCACCTGTTTTACAGAAAAGGCTTTTGCCTTGCAGGAGCTAACCGGAAGAGCCCCACACACCAGGGCTCTCGCCTGTCAGTGTGGGAGGGATTCCTAATGATTAGCATGACATTGAGGACACTGGCTTGAGTTTCAGCAACATGCATGACATTTGCTATTCCAGATTGTATTCTGCCTAGAAGCAGTCAGCCTTTGGCTGTCAGGGTCAGGGGATTAATCATTGTATGGAGGTGCTAGTACTGTATCTTCTATCACTAAACCAAAAAAAAGTGATTAACTCACATTTGATTTCTGTGATCTTCAGGGTGATGCTTCTGCAGTCAATAAAAATCCAAGCACTCCAAAAAGTTAGGACTGTGTCCTTATAATAAAGTGTCCATTGTTTCATTCAAACATTTTTGCTAAGTTTTTGAAGTCCATGAAGGGCTTCAGAGCCATTTGTTACCTCAGCTCAAACTGTGCCTGCCTTACAAATGCTGAATCTCTGTTCAGGTTGTGACCTGGGTCTGAGGTTCATTGTCCTTTTCGTTGCCCATGATTGCTGCTAAGTCCTGGGTGGTCTGAAAGGCTCCTGTGTGTCCAGAGGCTGATATTGTGCTGAGAAGATGAGTTTGAGGTCAGGGTTGGGATTTGGGGAATCTGGAGGTAGAAATCCGGCCACATTTTTGAAGCCGGT